GGCGCGCACTACCTTCCCCGCGATGGAGCGCGCCGGACGACTATGCGCACACAGCGATGGTTCGCTCAAGCGAAAGGAGGAGACCGGTTACGGCACGAGAGGAGCCGCACATATGCGTATGGGCAAGTGTCGCAGTATCAGCAAGGAGGTGTGCCACTTGCTCGACGCCGTGAGCCGATCGCACAAGCTCGTCTGCCGATCATATTTTGTCTCAGAGTTGCTCGAAGCCTGCGGGCGCAGCTGACGGACTACATGCCTACCTCCTGGTGCTCCACGAGACGGCGCGTGGACTTGTGTCAGCCAACGAGATCAGAAGGTTGAGGGAGGAAGGAGGCGACGCCATGCCAGCCGAATTAGTGGTCGACGGCATGTCCGTTTGCGCGGCCCTCGCCATGGACGTCTCTCGACCGCCGTCGGAGAACGGCATGGCTGGGCACCTCCAGTGACTGTCAGATCAGCTACGCACCAAACAGTTCAACGACATCCTGTGGCGCGACAGCAAAGACATGCGAGCCAAGACCTCATCTTCAGCGCTATGGACGGCAAACTCAGCGACGACCACATCACGATCAGGCTGAGCGAGGAGAAGCATAAGAAGGCCCACAAAATTCACAACGCAGCAATCCCACCAACGAGGATAATGGCGACCCGATTGGCTAAACTATCAGGCGTCGCATCTCCTGGTCTACGGTTGCGAGCGCGACGTCCGACTGGCCCCTTCGGGCAAGCAGGGCAGAACTGACGAAACAGGCAGAGCATACGGGTGAGAGAACTGCTGATTATGCTAACTATGTGAGCGGAGTTGCAGACGCGGCGACAATTGAGCATGCCTTGCGAGTGCTGCTTCCGTCCACTATGTGGATGGAACGGCAGCATTCGCCGATGCCCTTTGAGGGCTGTGCTCCGTCAGATCGCATGCTACTCGCGCCTGTGCAGTCTGCAAGTGTCTAGGATTGCCAGCCCGATGCGTTTCGGAGGTTATGTGGGCACTCCGCATGGGGGGGCCGCCGAGGTGCGACGGGCCCGCTTGAGCGCCGGACTCGAACGGTAGGCAGGCTGTGCATCCAGGGAATGTAGTATTGTTTTGCTGGGTACATGGGGAGGTTTTCTAGCCGCCATTCCAGGTTTCCTCTCCCGCGCCCGCGTTTTACGCACCTCAGGTTCCGCTTCGCCTCAGAAGAGGAACTCTGCTTCCATATCGCTTTACGTTGCTGGCTTCTCTAATACACCGCCCCCTGCGCGCGTCTGCCCCTCGCCCCTGCGCTGCCGCGCGACGAGCGGGGCAGGGCGGTCGCGCTCGGCGCTGTCCCCGAGCGGCTCGGCCCTGGAACGGGCCCAGTAAGAGCAGTTTGTGTTCGTCTTGCTCGGGGTTGCCGCGCGACGAGCAGGGCGGAGATGTAGATTGGCGTCGCTCCGCATGTTTGTCATTCGAGCCCTGGCGGTGCCGCTTAGCGACGCCCTCGTCGTCGTCCTTCTCGTCGTCGCCGTCGTCGTCAGCCCTGGCTCTCGTCGCCGCCCTCGCCGTCGACGTCGCCCTCCACCTCGGCTCGGGCATCTCCGCCGGAGCCGGGCAGCGGCGAAGCGACTGCAGCCGCGCAGTCGTGAGTCTGCCCGTTGTCACCGACTAAATTTAGGAAATCGGGGTCGTCAGTTGTTTGTTCGCTGCCTTCCGATGGCGAGAGGGCGGCGGCGCGGGGCCCGCGTCGAGAGTCTGCGGAGGGCCAGGCTGATATTGCGATGGCACAACAGCAGGCGCACCGTTCAGTTCGGGCCCGATTGATGCTTCACCAGCTTGTCCACGCCGAGTTCAACGCCCATGGCGCGACGATCGCGTTTCAGGGGGCATCGCCCAATCGCTCACCGCTGACAGCTGTGGGGGCAGGGCCAGATAGAGACGGATGCCATGACGCGCGCGCGGGTTTTGCGATTTTTCTGATTATCGCAGCGACCAGGCGCGCGCATTTCCTGTTCCGGAAGGTTTTTGCATCTTCGCGCGCAAGCGGCCAGAACATCACCGATGGCAAGGCCGCGGGGCCAGCGGGGATCTCGAGGGCGCGAAGGAGGAGGAGAATGCGGCCTCGATGCTCGCGAGCAGTTAGCGGGGCCAAGTCTCCGAGGCCACGGGCGGCAATCATCTCATGATGACGGCGGGGCACGTCGCGGAATGCCACCATCTCGCCCCGGCGGCGACTGGGCGGCGCAGTATGTCTCGGGCGCGCTGCGCGACGAGGATATCGCGCGCGCCAGGGCCAGATCAGGAAACTCCGCGAGAACTTGCCCGGGGCCATGACCAGGTCCAACAGCATGGCGAACGTGCCATCGTTTCGCGCGGAGGCGGCGGACGCCCTGCGCGCGGCGCAGCTTGGCGCTGGCCGACATATACGCCGCGGCAAAAATGAGCAAGAAGAAGCCTGGTGTCGCCAAGTTGAGGAAGAAGTTCGCGAGGGCATGTTGCGGGGCGATCAAGTGCGGCGACGACGCCGCGGCGGCGTGCGTCAACGGCCCGGCAGCACATTGGCATCGAATGGCCTGCGGCCCGTCCCGCCACCGCGCCTGGGCTGTGGGCGTGAAGCCTATTGGATGTTCGCCGGGATCTCACGGGCGGCCTCTCGGGGGCCTCGTGGAAGCAGTTGGGCGCCTCATGGGGGCCGTTTGGGGCATTTGGGGGCTTCTTTGGGGCCCGTTTGGTGGCCTGGTGGGGCCTTTCGGGCATCCTAGACACGTCTTGGGGCCTCTTGGGGGCCTCTTTGGGCGGGCGGCTCAGACGTTCGGTTCGCCCCTTCTCTTGGGCCCCTTTTTCGGGCCGTTTGGGGGCCCTCCTGGGTTGTTTTGGGCGCCTCCCGGGCCGTCTCGGTGCCCTCGTGGGCCATTTTGGAGAGGAAGCCGTCTTGGGACGGTTCGGGTGGCGCTCAGGGCCGTCGGGGAGCGTCGGGGTTGCGAAACGGCGAGGCCAACATTTTTCAAAGAAAAGAAAGATTATCCCGGCAAAGCAACCGAACAGCGATGTGTGGGAGTATATTTGGAAGCATTCCCCTTAAGATTCAGATGATAATCCAATTGAAGAATTCTGCTATCGCAGTCGTAGTCGCATTCGCGATGACAGTCGCAGTGGCAACGGCAGTCGCTCACAGCTTCAGCCTCAGCCAGCCTCAGCCTCAGCCTCAGCCTGCCTCGGCCTCAGCCTGCCTCAGCCTCAGCCTCAGTCTGCTGCAGCCTCAGCGTCAGTCTGCCTTCAGCCTCGCCTCAGCCTGCTCCAGCCTCAGCCTCAGCCTCAGCCGGCCTCAGCCTCAGCCTCAGCCTGCTTCAGCCTCAGCCTCAGTCTGCCGTCGGCCTCGGGCTCAGCCTCAGCCTGCACCAGCCTCAGCCTCAGCCTCAGCCTGCCTCATCAGCCTGCCTCAGCCTCAGCCTCAGCCTCAGCCTCAACCTCAGCCTCGGCCTCAGCCTCAGTCTGCCTCCGCCTGAGCCTGCCTCAGCCTCAGCCTCCGCCTCAGCAAACCTCAGCCTCAGCCTCAGCCTGCCTCAGCCTCAGCCCCAGCCTGCTTCAGCCTCAGCCTCAGTCTGCCTTCAGCCTCGGCCTCAGCCTCAGCCTGCCTCAGCCTCAGCCTGCATCAGCCTCAGCGTGAGCCTGCCTCAGCCTCAGCCTCAGCCTCAGCATCAGTCTGCCTTCAGCCTCGGCTTCAGCCTCCGCCTGCCTCAGCCTCAGCCTGCATGAGCCTCAGCCTCAGCCCCAGCCTGCCTCAGCATCAGCCTGCCTCAGCCTCAGCCTCAGCCTGCCTCAGCCTCAGCCTCAGCCTGCCTTCAGCCTCAGCCTCAGCCTCTGCCTCAGCCTCAGCCTCAGCCTCAGCCTCAGCCTCAGCCTCAGCCTCAGCCTCAGCCTGCAGCCTCAGCCTGCATGCCTCAGCCCTGCCTCAGCCTCAGCCTCAGCCTCAGCATCAGTCTGCCTTCAGCCTCGGCTTCCGCCTCCGCCTGCCTCAGCCTCAGCCTGCATGAGCCTCAGCCTCAGCCTCAGCCTGCCTCAGCATCAGCCTGCCTCAGCCTCAGCCTCCGCCTGCCTCAGCCTCAGCCTGCATGAGCCTCAGCCTCAGCCTCAGCCTGCCTCAGCATCAGCCTGCCTCAGCCTCAGCCTCAGCCTGCATCAGCTTCAGCCTCAGCCTCAGCCTGCCTCAGCATCAGCCTCGGCCTCAGCCTCAGCCTCAGCCTGCCTCTGCCTCAGCCTCAGCCTGCTTCAGCCTCAGCCTCAATCTGCTGTCAGCCTCGGCCTCAGCCTCAGCCTGCATCAGCCTCAGCCTCAGCCTCCGCCTGCCTCAGCATCAGCCGGCCTCAGCCTCAGCCTCAGCCGGCCTCAGCCTCAGCTTCAGTCTGAGCCTGCCTCAGCCTCAGCCTGCCTCAGCCTCGGCCTCAGCCTCAGCCTGCCTCAGCCTCAGCCTCAGCCTCAGCCTGCCTCAGCATCAGCCTGCCTCAGCCTCAGCCTCAGCCTGCCTCAGCCTCAGGCTCAGCCTCAGCCTGCTTCAGCCTCAGCCTCAGTCTGCCTTCAGCCTCGGCCTCCGCCTGGCTCAGCCTCAGCCTCAGCCTCAGCCTGCTTCAGCATCAGCCTGCCTCAGCCTCAGGCTCAGCCTCAGCCTGCTTCAGCCTCAGCCTCAGCCTGCTTCAGCCTCAGCCTCAGTCTGCCTTCAGCCTCGGCCTCAGCATCAGTCTGCCTTCAGCCTCAGCCGGCCTCAGCCTCAACCTCAGCTTGCCTCAGCATTCAAAATGTGGCCTTGGAATGGAGTTCTGGGAACTCGAAGAACACGAAGTGGCCTACAGTTGGCTCCGAGCATTCAAAATCATGCCCAGGAATGGCATTCTGGGAACTCGAAGACCACGAAGTGGCTTACAGTTGGATCCGGGCATTCAAAATCATGCCCAGGAATTGATTTCTGGGAACTCGAAGACCACGAAGTGGCCTACAGTTGGCTCCGGGCATTCAAAATCACGCCCAGGATGGAGTTCTGGGAATTCGAAAAACACGAAGTGGCTTACAGTTGGTTCCGGGCATTCAAAATCATGCCCAGGAATAGAGTTCTGGGACCTCACACGAAGTGGCCTACAGTTGGCTCCGGGCATTCAAAATCATGCCCAGGAATGGAGTTCGGGGAACTCGAAGACCACGAAGTGGCTTACAGTTGGCCCCGAGCATTCAAAATCATGCTCAGGAATGGAGTTCTGGGAATTCGAAGACCACGAAGTGGCCTATAGTTGGATCCGGGCATTCAAAATCATACCCAGGAATGGAGTTCTGGGAATTCGACCACCACGAAGTGGCTTACAGTTGGCTCCGGGCATTCAAAAACATGCCCAGGAATGGAGTTCTGGGACCTCGAAGACCACGAAGTGTGCAACTGTTTGCTTAAAACAACTTCCGCGGGTTCTCCCCCGGCACCCGCCCAGACCCCCCTGGGTAGTCAAGATGTTTTCTTTTGACACTACTAGAAACCTATTAGTCTTCGCTGTTATGTAATAATCAAAAAGGAACAGCAATGATGTCAGCATGTTTGGGGCCCTCGTGGGAGGCGCATTGGAGGCCTTTTGGGCTGTCTTGGAGGCCTCTTGGGCCGCTCGTGGCCATCTTGAGCGTCGTGGAGCGATCGTTCGGCGATTCGGTATCCTTTTGACCCGTCTTGGGAGGCCTCTCGGGGCCGACCCGGCCCGTATCGGAGTCATCTTGGGCCCGAAAAAGTCACGCGACAAGATGCGGGGGTGCCCGGGGGAACCGCACCAAACCCAACCATATTCGGAAACTAGAGTCCGGGCCCAAATGGAGTTTTCGGAACTGAGGACTGAGGCTCAGGGGATTGGGCACAGGACCCGAGAGGACGCGCGCTCTGCGCCCGCGAGCACGATGGCGGAGAATGTTCCTTGGACAGAATTTTGAGTATTATGCGCAACTCCGAAGTAGCATATCATTATTATGAGCCAGCGCACGTCATGAATTCAACCTCGCGTGCCAAGGCCGTGTCGTCTGGACCCGCTGTTCGTCTCCACTGCGGATTTAGGCGGCAGGGTGTCTCCTGTTCTCTGGCTGCGCCTCTAGCGACGTCGTCGCACGCATGCGGTTATTTCTCGTCATTCGTCGCGACAGCGATCGACATCATGCTTCCTGGCGACGGGCGGGGGCGGCTATATACGCTTCAGAGTCGTACTTCCACTGCTGCTACCCCTAGAGCTCTAGAGTCACTTGTGCCTGGACTGAGCTGTAAGGTCCCCGTCGTCGCGGCGCTGCGGCGTGATGCATCGGGGCGGAAGAGGTAAGAGGTCGCTGTCCTCGTTGTCTTCGCCCCGATCCTCATTGGTTTCTTTGTCCCCTCCGTCCTCCCTCTCCTCGTCGACCTCGCCGTTCTCGTCGTTGTTGTCTTCGTCGGATTTGTCGTCCCGTTGATCGTTTTCGTGGCGTTTACCTCATCCTCGCCCCCCTCGTCGTTTTTTGTTCCGGCCGGCGTTTGCTCCGCGCGCCCCAGTTAGCCCGGGGCATGTCGTGACTCATGTGGTACATGTTTTCGGTTCGTTTGTCAGAAAATCTTCTGGCGCGCAGAAAGTACGCCCTGGTGCGACGGTCGGCCGATGAGGGGGGAAGAAGGAGACGGCGATGACGAGGGCCGACAACGCAACCGTAAAAGACCTTTGTGGATCTTTCGCCGTAGGAGCACACTGGTAGCGTATTAGAGCCATCTGGGTGCCATCTTGGGGGGTGGGAGGGCGTGACTCCCAGCCGCGTGTCTGCGTTTTCATTGTTATGGCGCTGCCATGTTGTTGTTTTGTTTTTCATTCCCTCTTTGTTTCTCTTTCTCTTTTCGTTCGTCTACTCCTTCTCCCCCTCTTCCTTCTGGCCCCCCTCCCTCCAGGCCCCACTCCCCCGCGTCGCCACCAAGGTGCCGCTTAATCCTTCTCATCCTTCCCGTTCTCCTTTTCCTTCGCCTCCTTGTCCCCCTCTTCCTTCGTCCCCGCCTCTTCCTCCTTCTCTTTTTCCCTCAACTCCTCCTTCGCCTCCTCCGTCGTTTCTTCATTCTACAGGAGTACCAGAGGAGTCCGAGGAGCAGGAGAAAGGAGAGGTTGAGGAGTCACTGCCCCATCCTCCTCATCTTCCCCCGTGTTCCTCATCCACCTCATCCTCCAGACGCTCGCATCCTCCTTTCTACATTCCTTTTGTGAAGGATTGCAGGCGCATTCCTTATTTAATAGCGTTACACCTATATTCCTTTGATGTTGGGATTGCATGTAAATGCCCGAGGTGGGCGATGGAAAACCAACCGAGACAACAAGGAACACGCAGCAAAGACACCGAATACCCATGACTGAAACAACAACAACACAACAGCCTTAAAACCAAGGATGCCCCTACTTGCCTACTCCACCGTTCCACTGCTCCACCATCCCTTCTCTCCTCTTCCCACTCCCCTCCCACTCACCTTTCACGCCATTCCTTTTCCTTGTAAATAACTTCTCCCTGTCGCACCCTGAGGTCAGT